GGCAGTAATCACACTAGTTTAACCCCACTAGCAAGCCTGAGGTTGCTGGCTACAAGCAAGAACTTGAAATTAGAAATTTCAAGTTCTAGTCATATTACTGATGTCTATCTCAGGGTATAAGCTGACACAATATGTAGGTTAACTGGATTTTTCTATATATGTCTTGCACTTGGCACAGAGTTCTGCCACAATGGCAGTCAATAAATAAACCCTTCTACTTTCTGCTACATAATTTGCACCTCTGCCAATTGCAACTGCTGAAACAGATTTGAGGACAGAGAGAACTGAGGTAGCACATCATCTACATATCTGTGTGTACACACACACACACACACACACTCTCTCTCTCTCTCCTCTCTCTCTCTCTCTCTCTCTCTCTCTCTCTCTCTCTCTCTCGTAACACCTGGTTTAGACCTGTGATTTCATTAGTGAAGGGAACTAGAAGTGCATAAACTCTCTCCACCAAAGCAGATAATGGGACAGTTTATAATCTCAGTTGCCCAGGTTACCGAAGGTCAAACAACTTGCCTAAAAGTACAATATATGTCAGAGGCAGGACTTCCTGATTCCAAGGCTATTTACTACATCATACTGCCCATTACCAGTACCTATAGTTTATCCTGTATATATCTTGTTTGCACAAAGCTGTTGGCATGTTGTCTCTCCCATTAAACTGGGAGCTCCTAACATTTAGCACAGTACCTGCAAGATATGGCAGCTGATGGGGAGTAAGGAAGAGCATGGAGTCCAGGACAATGCTGAGCTTATGAAACTGAGGCACTGGAAGGACTACACCCTTGACAGAAATAGGGAAGTTTTGGAAGAGGGAAGGGTTTAGGGAGAAAGGATGAGTTCTGCGTTAGACATGCTGAGTTTAACTTATTACTCGAATATCCAATTTGAACTGTTCAACAAACAATGAGTGGTATGGATCTGAAGCTCGGGGGAGGAAGTGGAGCTGGGAGGCAGATCTAGGAGTCATCTGCAAGAGATGATCATTAAACCCATGGAAGCTCAAGAGGTTACTAAAAAATATAGAGAGAAGAGGGTCCAGCACAGAACTTCTGGAACACCCTCAGCTAGAAGTATGATGTAGATGATGAGACATCAAAGGAGACTGAAAAGGAACATGCAAACAGGAAAGAGGAGGACCAGCAGAGAGCAAGTGTCAATAAAAAGGGAGGAAAGAAGGGCCAACAGGACTCAGAAAAGATGATCAGATCTGGCAATGAGGATTCCATTGAGAATTCTGAAGCAAGCAGTTTCAATTAAGGAATGAGGTCAGAAATCAAACTGCAGGAGGCTTGAAGAGTCAGTGAGGGAAGAGGAAGCAGAAGCAGTGAATGTAGATGAATTTTTTATGAACTGGCTGAGAAATGGATGAGTGATAGAAGACAACAGCAAAAGGGGAAGGTAAAGTGAAGGTTGATCCAGGTGGGCTCCAAGGTCCCTTCCAGCTCTAAATTCTGTGATAATGCTAAGCTGTCCCTCCTTTCTTTGTTCCACCAACACTGAAGCAGACAGCCAAGGGTGGGCATTAAAAGGCCAGAGATGCTTGGGAATTCTCCTTCCCACTTTGTACCGCAGTTCAAGCAACAATAAAACAAAAGCTCCTTGAAGGCAAGAAGTATTCCCAGAGTCTAGCACAGTCCTTGGCACTTCATAACATTTGCTGAAAGACTAAACTGCAGAAAAACAATCTGGGAGCTGTTACTCACAGTTGCCAAGACAGCCCTTTAGAATATAAGGTCATAAAGTTGAAAAGGAGGCAGTCCTTTGGTTTCTCACTCCCCACAGAACCGATTCAAACCTTCTCTTCCCTTTCCAAGTGCCCATTTCCTTCTTTCTCTCTGCTGAGAACCCTGCCTCCTATCTTCCAAAAAAAACCTCAGGCCATTCCCCATAAGCTTCCTCTTCGCCCACTCTCTGCATCGCCAAATCCCCAGATATTATTTTCCATTTATGGCTTCATGGCTTCCTTCAATTCTCAGCTGAAATCCCACTTTCTGCAAGAAGCCTTTCCTGATCTCTCTTAATGCCAAAGGCAGGGCAAAAAAAAAAAATCACCAAAGCTCCACTTATAGAGGGCTCTGAAGGCCAGCTAACTCTTCCATTCCCACCAGTTGCACTGCTTGGTTTGACTCCACCACCATTATGCTCTGAATACCCTCCTCTTCCCAACCCTTCAGCTTTATTTTTTATGTATGTGGTCTTCCCTCCTTAAATTATAAGGTCCTCAAGGGCAGGGATTGTCTTTCCTTTCTTTTCTTTAGCAGGCACTCAGTAAATGTTTATTGTACTGCTAATGACTTCTCTTTGAAATTAGTTTATCCTGTATATATCTTGTTTGCACAAAGCTGTTGGCATGTTGTCTCTCCCATTAAACTGGGAGCTCCTAACATTTAGCACAGTACCTGGCACAGAGTAGGTGCTAAATAAATGTTTATAGGCAACTCCTCCTTTCCTTCACACTTGGATGAAGAGGCCGCTCTTTTCTTTGCCAAGGCCCTCTACCATATGCATCTAATCTCTGATCTCAACAGTTGATAGCCTCAATCATAGTCTCTCTTCTCTCCTCTCCTTTCCTCCCTCCCTTTCATCTTTAACCAGTCTCTAGCAACTGGTTCCTTCCTTACTGCCTTCACAGATGTCCAAGTCTTCCCTCCCAGGGGACAGGGTGGAATACCTCATTAAATATTACCATCCTTCCAAACCACTGTCCTACATCTCTCCTCATTTTTTCAGTCAAACTCCTTGAAAAGTGTATCTACACTCAAACCCTCTACTCCTTCATTTTACAGACAAGGCAAATGAGACTCAGAGAGGCTAAGTTATTTCCCTAAGATCACACAGGTTTAAATAACAGAGCCAGGGTTCTTAGATCTCAGGTTCTCTTATTTCAAGCATAAAATTACTACAAAATCCAAAATACTTCTTCAATTACTCTGAACGAAAGTTAGGTATACCCTTAAGAATAGCATTTATAAAGTAAGACTTGCTTGCTTATGTAATCATCTGTTACAAAAAAGTCTAAAGAAGACTAAAGGGTCACTAATTATGCCTCAGTGCTGAAGTGGTTTTATAGAACATTTAATGTTTAATTCAAGGGAGGGAGGAAGGGGAAGAGAGAGACAGAGAGTCAGAGAGAAAAGAGACAGAGATAGAGAGACAGAGACAGAGATATACTAAGAAAAACACAGCTATCTAATTTTACAGACTCTAATGAGAGGCAACATGGTGCCATAGTTAAGGCATTGGGCTCAGAACTTGCAAGAACTGGATTCAAGTCCTGCCTCACACAAGAGACCGTGCTCTGGAGGGGTCGGGTTAATAAAGACTTGATCTCTGCCCTAAAAGAGGCAGACAGACCTCAGAGCTGGTATCAGTAGAGACCACTGGTCAGGTCTGGGAAAGAGAGGTCCCTCAGAGCTTGTAATCCTTGAAAGAATCAAATGGAGCTGTCATCTGCAGCTAGGACAAGTGGACTGGGAGAGGACAGGCTCTGGCCTCCACTTTTCCTGCAATGCTACCTGCTGTCTGAGAAGTAGAAACTCTCGGACCTCGACCCAGGGAACCCACCTGGAAAAGCCTCAAAGAGGAAAGGCTCAAGAAGAGCAGTCATCAGAAGCAGCCCTGTCTAGCAGACTTATCAAACAGATTCTGAAGGAGAAAGATGACATTAAGGCCCAAAATACAGAACTGGTAGTGGTCTGGGGCACATGTTCACTGCTCATGGGTCTCCTTCCTATAGTTTTCTAAGAGTGTGTCCATGCTGTCCCAGGTTTACTGTGTATATTGCTCAAAGACTGCATCGCAGGTTTATGAGTATAATGTTATGTGACAATTATTTTCGTCTTGCATTCTGTTTAGCAAATGTTTCTCATTAAGAGTAAGTAGTTTCAACTTGGCTAATTTGTTAAATGGAGAGCACACCAGCAGGGCTCAGGAATACTAGATGCGTATCTTCCCTCACCAGATTAGCCCTAAACTCAGAATTTGTCACAGCACGGCCACCCACTGTGGAAACCCCAAATCTGTCAGTGAGACCTTGGGTGAGGGAGCTAGTTTAGGATGAGAAAATAGGGAGCCAATGCCACACTTCTACACTATGCCAGTAACCTATCTTTTCCCTGTTGAAAATTTCTTTTTCTGATACTGTTCAAGGCTAACCATGTTCAATGCCTCCAAACTCTTTTCTTCCCCAAGATATAAAGCTGAATAGTCTATATATAGACATATACATACATATGTATGTATATGTGTATGTACGTGTGTGTGTGTGTGTGTGTGTGTGTGTGTGTGTGTGTGTGTGTGACTTCTTTTATTTAGTAATCTAAAATCTTATTCATCAAGGTATTTTTTGGGTATTATCCCTCAAGCTCACTTTCACAATGAAGTCCAGGTATACTTTGATTTGATTAAGAGAATCTTGTCAAGTTCTTTATAGAATTTTTCTGCTACTACATCATTTTGCAAAAGATACTGATATATAACTATCTTCACTGTGATCTTTCTGCTTAAGCTCATCATGTACTCCACAAGGCAATTTTTGGTACCTTTGGGGCACAAAATGAAACCAATTCTACTGTATGCTTTCTTGTCTCTCTAAGGAGTACCTATGACTTTTTCCCTCCATTTATTTACATGTAATTTCTTTAGTGAGACTATCAATATGAATATATAAAGTTACTGATCACTAAACACAAATCTCACAGTTCAAATAGGCACAAATACACAAAGGATATTATAGGATGTTATATTTCAGGCCTGAACTCTTGGTACAGGAATTTCTTCCACCAACATAAATCACAACTAATCTATGACAAGTTTCAATTATAAGTCAAAAAAGTACTTTAGGGAACATGGGAGGCAAACAATTTCAAGACATAAAATAGCCCAGAGATAAGTTGGTTTGTAAACAATACGATCTACCCTAAATATAAGTGCATTTCCAAATTTTAGTTTTGAATATATTAAAAAATGTTAAATAGATTACTCACCACATTGTAATAGCTTTTGTTAATTGCAGATGTATCAAATCCTTTAGGAGGGCTCTTCAATGCTCCTGACTTGGGGGACACTGGCTTTTCTGAAATAACAATGGGATGCAATTTTACTGCTCAACACTAAATACCAAACTTTCTAATAAGAGCACTGTGGTGAAATATAGTAACATTTCACTTATTCAGAAGTCACTGACCTGACAATCAATCACCCAGAACATAGTCATTAACCAAGAAATCAGCAAAATGTCCTATAATTCTCCATATTAGATTTAGGCATGTTATTTGAAAAAATTTTAAGTAGCCCAAGTGCTGCTGTGGTATCCCTGGAAGAGGAAGCCATGTGAAAACAGCAGGAAAAGCACTGAATTTGGAATTCAAATCCTGACTTCTTTCCCAACTACCTACATGTTGTTTTAAGTCAAGTCCCTTAATCTTTCTGTAACTCAGTTTATATAAAATGAAAGGGCTGGACTAGATATCCCCTAAGGGTCCTTCCAAAGCTAAATTTACCATTCTATGAGTGTTAGAGAACCAGATTTGAATAGATTCTCTGTGGAGTATATTCTCTATGGGAGGATGGAAATAAGGCAAGAGTGGGATGAGAAGACATAGGGCGCAATCTTCTTTACTGGAAGAGTAATGAGATCACAAGTCTCCTGAAGTAATAATGAAACAAGGTGATCAACAAAATGGAAGACTGGACATTTTCTCCAGTCCCCATTAATTCTCCCAAAAATTAAATAAATAAAATAAAAGGCCAACTAGCTAATAGTCTTATGAATTAACAGTGAAGAATGCCAGTACTTTATACTCAATCAGTACCCCTCCCCCACCAGCATCCACAACCAATGGGATACGTTCAGGGACTCCTTCCCTTCTGTAGTCACTGCCAGCATATCCCACCCCCTGCCCTTTCCATGGGGTCCTAATACAGCAAGTACCAGACCTCAACTCTACCCAGCCATATGGGAAAAAGAAGACGGGAAGGGAAAGGAATCAGAGGGAAGAACTGTACTTTCCTTTTCCTGGGGGAAGCTGCTAGTTTAGGAAACTCCAAAGCTACAGAAAGTCTTAAGGGACTACATACCCTAACACCCTTCAATCATAACAAAATCAGCAGATACAGATTCTGCTCAGTCAGTAAACTAATGATTAGCAGGAACTGGGAGCATGGGGCCAGTGTGCACAAAAGAAGACTGGTATCTAACTGCAGCAAATTCTGTCCCTCCAGAAGCTACTTGGAGTATGAACTGAGACCTGTGAAAAGTAGACGCCCCAACTTTGGAGGATGCAGAGACAGTTTTGAGGATTAACTCCAGAGGTGAAGTTCCATCATCAAAAGGGAAGGAGTCAGAAAGTAAGCTACAAGGGAATCTAAAGGCAAAGCCCCAAACCACCAAAAATATGAAGAAAAAGAAAATTTAGATAAGAACCTAAGCACAAACAAGTATGTACTAAAATTAAGAGAAAATATGAATGCTGAAACATATAAGAAATTACAAACCTCAGTAAATAAATGTTGTTAGGCAAAGGAAACTGAACCAACACCTACTGAAATAGAGAATCTTGTGGATTACCAAGAGAGAATGAAACTGCAACAAGATATTGCTGAATCACTCAAAAGAGAAATAAAAATCTTGAGAGAATAAGTTAAAAGGGAATAAATGACAGAATTTATGGCCTGTATCAAAGAAATAATTAGAATAGAAAAATTCAAATCCAAAGCATCATGTCTTATCAAAAAACAAAAAAAGGGGAAAAAAACTTTACCAGATTTACTACAATTTACTAGAAATAGCAATACACTGAAGCGAAGGACAACTGGAAGAAGAAAAGTAAAAATCAATAATGTTAAAAGAACATATGAACTCTATACAAGTAAAGCACGATGACCTAGAAGACAGGAGGTAAAGGGACAACTTAAAGACCACAACCTTCCCAGAAAAAACACAAGTCAAAAAACATGAATACCATAATACAAGAAATAATAATAAAAAAAAACTGCCCAGAACTTCTAAATACAGGAAAACACACACAGACACACACACACAGACACACTCTCTCTCTCTCTCTCTCTCTCTCTCTCTCTCTCTCTCTCTCTCTCTCTCTCAAAATAATCCACAAATCATCTCAAGGAAGGAAGGAAGCTTACACTTCAAACTCCAGGATACATAGTAATAAAAATTTAACAAGATAACTAACAAACAATAAATTCTACAAGTACCTAAAAGAAAAAAACTTTAAATATAAAGGAAAACTTTAACTTTTTAAAAAAAAAAAAACTAAGATCATTTCAAACCTGTCAAAAACTCCAGGAGGTAATGAAATAAGATATTCCAAAAAGTAAAAATACTCAAGCTGCAACAGAAAATTACTTACTATGCAAACTAGAGACTAATCATCGATGAAAAATGGCAATTCAATAAAGCAGAAGAACTGAAATATTCTTGCAAAACAAAAACAAAAGATATAAAGAAGATAAGTTGACTTAGAAACAAAAGAAACACAAGGAAGCTAAATAAATACAACCACCAAGGAAAGAACAAGTAATGAAATAAAGTATCCCACCTCTGGAGACTATTAAAATAAAAAACTAGAAAAACATCCACTGGATTAAAGGTGGCAAAAGGAGGAAATGAAGGGGGAAAAGAAAAGAGATAAATTACACTCAGCACAGAGAAAGAGCCCCAACTGAAAAGCACTCCTATGGGGAGAGATATTCTGTACAGGCAGATGGGGATTTCAGAAGAAAATACTTCCTATGAGATTCTCCATGGGTAACAGCCAGCATCAGGAAAACACAAATCAGAGCTCCTGAAGACACTGACCCAGAAAGGAGACTGCTACATGGCAAATGGAGGGAAAAAAATGAGGAGGGAATGGAGGCAGGGGAGGGGAGGATTAGACCACACAATCTGAAACACACATTCATTTTTACTATTGGCCAATGCTATCCTAATTGCTTCCCTTAAGAATTGATACTTCTGGGGCAGCTAGGTGGCACAGTGGATAGAGCACTGGCCCTGGATTCAGGAGGACCTGGGTTCAAACCCGACCTCAGATACATAACACTTACTAGCTTTGTGACCCTGGGCAAGTCACTTAATCCCACTGCCTAGCCAAAAAAAAAAAAATGAAAATACAAAAAAAGAATTGATACTTCTAAGAGTGACAGGAAAAAAAGAATAGAAATAGAAAAAGAAAATAGAAATATAGCACAACAGAAAAAAAAGGAGTGAGGAGACAAGATCTACAAAGGAGGTAATATGGAAAGCTGGTTAGCAGAGGGAACTCAAACTTGGTACTTAAGAAGCTTTAATTCCGTAAGTAACACAAAGAAGGAATAAATAAGTATAAAAACTCTGAATCAAAGAAAAAATATTCTAGGAGAGACAGGAAGGGAAGAAAATTCATGAAGAAAATAAGGCAAAAGAAATCCTTCTTTAGTGCAGAAAACGGAAATAACTAACAAAAGAAGTTGCAGAGGATGTGATACTTTGAACTAACCACTGAACTGAGAGGAGGAAAAAGGAGGGGGAAAAGGGTGAAGAATTATACGACTAAATAAAAGGGAAAAATATATCAATAAAAACAGTGAGAGTAAACTTTTGCCAATTAGACTGAGGAGCACAGAAAATTAAATTAACAAAATTTTAAAATAAAGTCAAATTTCAAAAAAAAAAACCCGGAGAAATATCAGAATCCATACAATTATATGTCAACAAAACTAAAAACACAAGAGAAGATTACCTTCAGAAATATAAAATATGCAGACTAAAAGAACACCAAAAATAGATTTTATGTAATTCACTCTCAGAAAAGGAAACAGTACTAGTTGTAAACTATGGAGAAGAAGGTATACGTCAAAGCCTTCAGGCTACATGTAGCCTTCTAGGTCCTTGGGTGCAGTCTTTTTTTACTGACTCCCAAGTTTTACAGAACAAATCTTTTTATAAAGGAGATTTGTTCTGTGTGGCCTTGAGGCTGCAGGTTCCCCACTCCTGGTATAAGTAGAGGGGGTTACTTGTGATCCTGGTGGATTTAAAGGAGAATTCTATCAAGCTTTTCACCAATTTTATATAAATTATCCTATAAAATTAAGAAAGAATTGTGCCAACTTATTTTATAAGACAAATACAGTTCTAATGTCAAAACCAGAAAAGAAAAAAGTACAGTAGAACTATAAACCAACATGAAATCCAATCAGACAACAGCAATTCATTCAAGAAATCAGTAATATATGACCTGATATATATTCACAAATGGCCTTGAGTCAAGAATATTTAAAATGTTTACTACTTTCTGTTTAAGAAAGCATAGAGTATATAGTATATTTTGTAAAGATTTTTATCCAAAATTGCTTTAAGAATTTTTTCCAAGTACGCCCAAAGGGCTATAAAAATGTGCATACCCTGTGACCCAGCAATACCAATTCTAGGGCTATATCCCAAAGTGATCATACAAATGGGAAAAGGACCCACACATACAAAAATATTTATAGCAGCTCTTTTTGTGGCAACAAAGAATTGGAAATTGAGGGAATGCCTATTAACTGGGGAATGGCTGAACAAATTACGGTATACGAATGTAATGGAATACTATTATGCTGTAAGAAATGATGAGCAGGCAGACTTCAGAAAAACCTGTAAAGACTTGTATGGACTGATGCTAAGTGAAGTGAGAAGAACCTGGAGAACATTGTACACGGTAACAGCCATGTTGTGAGGTGACTATCTTTGACAGACTTAGCACTTCTCAGTAATGCAAGGATGTAAGACATCTCCAAAAGCCTCATGATGGAAAATGTTATCCACATCCAGAGAAAGAACTATGGAGTTGGAATGCAGATCGCAGAATACTATTTGCTTTTTTTTCTCTTCTGTTTTGTTTCTTCTTTCTTGTGGTTCCTCCTATTGGTTCTAATTCTTCTTTACAACACGACTAATGTGAAAATATGTTTAATAGGAACGTATATGAAGAGCCTAAATGAGATTGCATGCCATCTTGGGGAGGGAGGTGGGGAGGGAGAGGTAGAAAATTTAGAAATCAAAAGCTTATGGAACTGATTGTTGAAAATGAAAAA